GCGTGTAATGGGCGTCTTAGGCCCGCAACACAGACTATGTTTTTTTATTACGATTTTGGCTTGGATGCTTGGTTTTTAAGCCATCTCTTCATTGTATAAGTATCAAATGATAATAATCCTTTATAGTACACTTTACACCTATAGAGCAACATAGTGTGCAAGGGAGAAGACAATTCCTTTTGGCAAAAATACAAGATAGAAAAGGATACCAAATCTCATAACTCTGAAACCGATTTTGAATGACAGATTGACACAATTCGGCACGCAAGGAATAGCTCCTAGATATTTTGTAATGTTTTAAAGTGTAATAGTGGTTATTTTTAGTAAGTAACTTTTTTCCAAAATTCTTACTTGTTCAGCGAGTGATTGTAGTGTTAATAATAGAAATAATCCTGATAATTGCACATTTCACAGGTAAACTCTCAAGACGTCTTCAATGTTATGAAGTGTATATTCTTGGTTAAAATTTATGTTATACTATCTGTTCCCCGCGACTTCGCCCACGTGTAATTTAGTGTTTTAATTATGTTTGTTTTAATTGTGTGCGGAACCATAATTCTTTTTCTCAAATATAAGTAGCCTATGTTACTCCTTATAACATCAGCTATCTTTCAGTGAAAGTTCAGTCAAAATCGAAGACTCGTCAGACAGACGAATTTAAAAAAAATGGTTTCTTTTTGTTATAAGCACCGTATATACTTTCATATGCATTTAGTAAAAAGCTGTTATTTTAACATTACAAACAAACACTTCAACTTTATTTATTTGTATAGATACTGTTTAAAATATAGAACGTTTTCAATTATTTTGTTAATTTTGATATTTCAAAAAGAAAAAAGTCACTTGTTGATAATTTGCACGAATATAAATTTGCATGAATATAAAGGTAAATACATTTTTATACAAAATATTTTATATGTACGGTAGGGATTGACTCAACTATATCAAAATTAATGTCGAAATTTATCTTGAATGTTTATAATGAATCGATAGACTTGCCTACACAACAAGAAAATAAATCCTTGGCTTGCCTTCTAAATGTAATTTTATTTTGCCGTTTGTTAAACAGATTCTCTCCGGATTCTATAATTAGAAAAAATGGTTAAGGTTAATTGGACGGGTTGGTTGTAATGCAAAGAAGAACAATTTGTGACAAACATTTTCTTGAGAAGTATAAAAAAAGTAGAATAAAAACAATTTTATTAAAAGAAGTCATTTCTACATTATTTGTACCAGTAAGTAAAATATTGTTATAATAATACTTCAAAATTTAACTTTCAGAACTTTAGATAAATATAGATAAAGGTTGAAATTTAGAATCGTTTGGCAGGAGAGGGGCAGGGGGGTGCTGCCATTAAAAGATAATACACTTTTCTTAAGAAAAATCAAAAAGAAAATCCCATAGACCTAACCTCAAAATGATAACATTTATCATCTCCGACACGAGGGGGGAAGTTTGAGTTTTCAAATTAATTGTTGTGTCCCTCTGTATTATTATTTAAAAACCTTGTTTTATTTTTTGTTTCCAAGTTTATTTCGAAACATAATGCACGCATTGTGATATTAGTGTACATAAAAGAAATCTAAAAATGAACAAAAAAACTTTGTACCTATATCCTAAACGTTTATTTGATTTAATTGTAAATATAGATATAGCTTCGTTTTAGGTTGTAATATAATAAAGAAACAATGTCGCGACAAAACACAAGTGTTTTGTGGGAGTTTTTCGAAAAATTGTTAATAGATAAATAAAAAAGTGCGTTGTAATATTTGTAAAAACGAATTTAGTTTTCAGACGACTTCAAGTAATCTGAAGTCATATTACGGCAGCGATATATAGAAACGTACACAGAAGTTTCGTTGGAACAGCAAACGATTGCTAAACTAGACTAACACTTTGGGTGTCCTTGCGTCAGCACTAACTTAAAAAATAACTTTTTGAGCCAGTCAAATCCAACCTCTATGATGCCATCAGCTGTACCGCAGTCTCAACACAAACAAGGAAAAATGGATGTCTTAATTCCTAGAAAGATGTAAAAAGCTCAAAAGTACGAAAGAAAGTTCATTTCAGTAACTAAATTAGTATTTAAATCTTAACTGTTTATATCACGTAACGAAAATAATTTTGATAATCTATTCTATGACGATATTGTTAAGTTGCCGTTACATGGAAAATAGACAGCTATGAATATAGATAATTATGATAACGTTATCCGTTGTACCATAACGATAACGTTACGTTATTTAGAAAACTCATAACGACACACCGTTAGACGTGACGAAGACGTTTGATGACGAATGATATCACTGACTTAGAAGTAGTTATATTTATATCTCTATGAATTATATATTTTTTGTGGCATTCCTTGGGGGAGGCCTACGTTCAGCAGTGGACTTGTGAAGGGCTGTAATAATGAATGATGAATGACATAGACATACTGAGTACTGTCATGACAGCAGTGGTGCCAAGTTTGGCGAAAAATCGCCTATTAGGCTATCTTACAGGCTGTCGGGGCGACCGAAAATTGCGATGGCGACTGGTCGCAATTTAGGCTACTTCGGAAAAAAACAAGGGCTATTTTGGCTATTTAATTCTCTCTCTTATTAAGTAAGTCTCTTAGGATATATAATAAAAATACCTACGTGTAATGAAATATAGTAGTGTAGAGAAATATCAAAGAAGACTAAATTTTAAGGTATCAATGAACTAATAAAAAGGGAAGGACTTTTATATAAGGGATGTAAATATATGTATATTTGAGGTGAAGATATTTGAGACGGAGCGGTGGAGATCCACCTCCCGCATGGGAAAAGTTTTGGAAGTCCATAGTTATTTTTTATGATTTTTTAAATCGGATTTTGAGGTTCTGTTTTGGGGTTATAAACCTGATTTATGGGGGAGAGAGTTGGAGAGAGAGATAGGTGCCGTCCTACTTATGCCATACAACGCGTCGCAGTCGACGGAGCCCCGTGAAGCGGTATCAACTTCTTATTTGCAAAATAAAAACGCACTATTAAATCTTCCTAAAATAGCAACATCTGTCAAAATTACGTCAAAAACAATAAAATGTATGAAATTTCCTAAGCCTGAAACTTCGATAATAAGTGCAGTATACAAAAAATATATATACACATATATATGTGTATATATGTAATTCGTTAATAATTATAGAGAAAACAAATTAGACGAATTTAGGCTATTGACGACAAATTTTTGGCGACTCAGACCGATCTAGACTTCCTAGGCGAGATTCTAGGCGATTTTTCGCCAATTAGGCTACTCGGGATGGAAATCAAAATAAACCTGGCAACACTGTTAATTTCGGGGAATACCCCAAAACTAAGGCTCACTCTCACTCTCACTCATCTGCAGACGTGCGCGAGAGAGACGGGTAGATCCGAATACACGGACAAAGCGTTAGGGAGTAGGGCTTCTAACTTAGCGTATTGCACGTTAATACTTAATAGTAACCAAATTTAGTATGCAATAAGATTGTAAGATTCGCTTAGCTGTTAATAATATTTGTAATTATAAGTATAATACCGGCTATGTATCTATTTCATTTATTTGTCATTTGCGAAATTTCTCAAAGAGTCCTGTGCGTGCATGTTCTCGTGCACTTAGTGAAGGAATTAGTTGACAGACTACCACTTAATGTGTTAGTAGTAGAAAAAAAATTGAAAATTTATCACCAACGTGTGCCAGCAGACCCGACGTTGACGATTTTCGCTGGCAATTAGGGAAACCTAATATTAACTGGGAAACTATAATGAACCAATGGCGTTCTTTAAGTACGTTGCGCATCGAAGTAATCAATCAGTACAGCTTCTCCCAAAGCTATCGTAAATTTTTGGGTGCAAGTATTGAAAATACAGAATGCTGAAGGGAATCCCATGTTTAAAAATTTTGCCGAGTTTTCATTCCGATGTCTCTCATTTCCTTTAAGTAATGCTATCGTAGAAAGAATTTTCACCGTAATAGGTACGATAAAGACAAAATTAAGGAACAGAATGCAACTACCCATGCTGATTGCAATTCTTAGAATCCGTACATATGAATGTCCGAAATATTTGCTGCAACAATTTTCAACCAGGCAGTCATATGATCAGTATACATGCTGGAAGGAAAATTTACGTTTCCAGTTCAAAATTTTGACGGTGAAAGTCTTGCTCATGCTTTGTTGCTGCTGGCAGCAGATGATGATTGCAGATTTTTTTAAAATTTGATACTCTATGTATATCTTATGAATAAAAAATTTGTTAAAAATTACGTTTTTATTTATTCATAGCGAAGTTTTGATGTTTGGGCTACTTTAGGCTACCTCAGCTCAAATTCGGCTATATTAGGCTACTAAATCTGTGAAAAATGGCAATATCAGGTTCCAAGGAGTTTTGGCGGGAAATTGACCGGCGGCGGTTTGCTGCTCCTGTATTATAGTTTAAATAATAGTTTGAAGTGGATTTTGATATGTAAAAGTGGTGCGATTTTATGTATTAACTGTCTACGCATGTGAACTATTAGTGGAAACGATGAAACAAGTGCTCTGATGGTGATGGATTCTCAAGATAAGCTGTTTGTCTGCATAGGCGCCTTTAGATACCATCGCCAACTGTCAGCTGTCTGCTGGCTCAAGTTGCCGTCAAAATCTCCCAAGGGCTGCACAATGTGACGCATCAACATATTGTGAAGCAGTGAACTATGAAAGATAATTATACATTTGGGAAATTATAATAAACCGAATAAAAATACTCAAGACTTGGCCTAAAGGTCTAGATACCAGGCCATAAACTCAAAAAAAAAATCAGGTTCCAAGTTATTGGCAACACTACATGACACTGACAGTAACACTGACACTGACATATCATTATTCATTACCAGCTAGTGGCTATGTAAAATTTATATTCAAATTTCAAATTATTTGCAAATTAGCTTTGTAGAGATTCCCACACCCTCCCTGGTATACGTATATTATTAAATTTTAAAAACATTAGAAATCACAATGTCCAAAGTTTATAAAATGTTGATTACAGCCACAGACAGATATGTCCCTACAAAGCTTCGTCCGTTATGGGAACATGAAGCTGGTAAGATAGTAAATAAATGAGATATGCATCGGGAATTAATTAAAATTTAATGTATATATTTAGTAATAATTTAGTAATCATTTTGTTTAGGTCCTAAAACCATCTTTTTTTGGGCTCCAGCGTTTAAATGGGTAAGTATTGCCACGAGAAATACATTCAAGGCCATTCTATATTTATTATAAGACCTTGCAATGACAATGATATGTTATCTACGACGTTTGTATGTTATTAGCTTTAACTATATTATAAAATTAATGTTAATTGTGATATTTCTCTTTTATGTTTACCAATTTTATTTAATTTTAAAGAAAAAAAGTTATAAATTTATTCTCTAGAACGGAATTCCAAGTAGATTTGTATAAAGAATAACATTAAATTTCTATCATAGTCCTTGCAGTCCATACCATATACCATCTAGTATGTATTGTATGTAGTACTGTGTGTGGAATACCCCAAATTGATGGGCAGCAGCATCAAAATAGTGATATATGTGGTACTGTGATGGTCAATGTGCATGCCTAGCTTGGAGTCTTTCTGACAAATCCTTTTTACAAAGTGAGAAGACTAAGCCTAACTGTCTACTGTTATGAAATGATAAAGAATAAAGGATAAGATACTGCAATCAAACCTTTCATTAATACTGGCAAGATTGAGAGTATTTGGTAAAGAATGTTTCTTAATTAGTGGTATGTGGGGTATGTGAGATTGCGTACTATGATAGGGTAATAGCAAACTAATGACTAAGGTAAAAAACTACACAAAAACTACAATTGCCAAATTGTACATGTAGCTGTGGTAGATCTGGGGCTAAGCGCTTGCTGTGAATTTCACAGTATATGAGCAACCCTGGTTCAATCCCCACAGGTACCAATGAAATTGTTCATTACACTTTCAAGCGCTGATTTACCAAATGCTTGGCGGTGAAAGAAAATATTGTGAGGAACCTGCGAGTCTGAGAAATAAGAAAAAAAATATTTCAAAGATATGTGAAGTTCACCAACATGCACTGGGGCAGTGCGGTGGATATTTTCTTGCCCTAAAACCCTCTCAAAAAGAGGTATGTAAGGATCGTGACACTTGGCGATCTGTTCTCTCTGGCTACCCCGTCAGGGATTGTGCGTGAAGATAAACTAAAACCCTCTCAGGAATGAGAGGAAGCCTGTGCCCAGCAGTGGGACGTATATAGGCTGTAACTTTAACATGTACATGTACATTTGTCCCATTGAACTTATATAACCAATCTCATATTTATAATATATAAATTAATAATGATTTCTTATATTTACGCGAAGACTACATATTAAATGAAACTAAGTTTTATGGATTTACAAACTTGTATTATTGTACTATTGTAACAAACTAAATTCTTATACAATTTTTAACTACATGTTATAAACCTACTCAGAAATGAGAGGAGGCCTGTGCCCTGTGCTATGTCCCACTGACATATATAGGCTGTAACTTTAACATGTTTTTGTATCATATGCAGCACTTTTAAAATACCATCCATATATTTGAGACTAGTAAACTACCTTGTGTAAGAACCTATCTGCAATAATAATTTAAAAAAATTACTTATTATAACACAGTGCTTAACTACTATTTTACTTGATGGTTAGCTGAAGATAGTATAGTGCTCTGACATAACAAAAGCCTATTTAATGTTCACTAAAGACATGCACATTATAAATGAATAGAGAGACGGACGCAGGCAATTTTTTCCACTATTTTGCTGTATTTATTTACCACATTTTTTATTAAGTCACTTTCTTGTTTGTATGTTGTTCCTGGTGGAAATTAGTAATTGATTTTAAACTAACTTCCCGATGAGTTGCAAACTTGAAATTTTGAATATAGCTCAAATTCAGATGACAATACAAGAGTATGATAAAAAAACGTGGTAAATTAAAAAAAATCACTTGTTATGAATGACGAAGGAAACATTAGGTTTGAATGTGTAGGATATTAACAATAATGAGGTAGAATCAATGAGCGTCTGGTTGTTCTTTTCCTCTTTATCTTCACCAGACTGACAGTCAGACACTGCTAAACATGACTTATCCCACTGTAAAGCTACATGTGGCAGGTGGATCAATGATTTTATAATCATATGTCACATTGTTGCCACATGATTTTCCAGACATTTTCCTTGCCTCATATGAAACTCATGGAATGAAAGAGAATGCATCACATTCTCTTATAGTACCACTATAAACTTATTTTGTTTGGTGTACACATATGTTTACTATATTACCTAATTATATATTTAAATGAGCATCTTACATTTTTATTTATAATCATTAAAATGTAAGTGACATGCAAAATTTGTATGGATTATGAAATTCGATCAGTAATTAATCATTGATACAAATTTTGCACATAATTTTTAATAACTGGGTTTTTGCGTGTGATTACAGACATATTATGCATTGTTGTCATTAAGCGCAGCTGTGTATCGCTAGCAACGCAAAATCGGGAATTTGCATTTGGAAAAATCCAAAATTAGGGGCTTTTTAAGTGCTAATTAGGTGCCAAGTTTAAAAATTAGGTGCTCTAAAATTTTCACCGCAAGGAACGATTGAAATTTGCGTTGCCAGCAAAACGTCTCGCTAGCAACGCAATAAAGTTATTAGATATACCATAAATATTAATAGCAAGGAATTAAGTGCTAATTAGGTGCTGCAAGTATACGCAATAACAAGGCACCCCTAATAAAAATAAAGTCATTATTCAGAACATAGCAGATGCAAAATTCAGATTTCCTAAAAATCAAAATACAATCAAAAATGCTTTTAGAAAAAGCCCAAATTAGGGGCTTTTTAGGTGCTAATTAAGTACCAAGTTTAAAAATTAGGTGCTCTAAAATTTTCACCGCAACGATCGATTGAAATTTGCGTTGCTGGAAAAACGTATCGCTAGCAACGCAAGTACGTTATTAGATATACGATAAATATTAATAGCTAGGAATTAAGTGCTAATTAAGTGCTGAGCGATTATCGAAACCCGATACAGATTCAGACATTATTATGGCAATTATAGGCTCCATGACCACCATTACCTTACCATAAGGTATGAACGGCATTTTATGTTCTGTATCAGTACCTAAGAATTAAGTGCTAATTAGGTGCCAAGTTTAAAAATTAGGTGCTCTAAAATTTTCACCGCAAGGAACGATTGAAATTTGCGTTGCTAGCAAAACGTCTCCCTAGCAACGCAATGAAGTTATTAGATATACGATAAATATTAATAGCCAGGAATTAAGTGCTAATTAGGTGCTGCAAGTATGCGCAATGATAAGGCGCCCTTAATAAAAATAAAGTAGTTATTCAGAACAAAGCAGATGCAAAATTCAGGTTTTCTGAAAATCAGAAAAGAATCAAAAATGCTTTTAGAAAAAGTCCAAATTAAGGGCTTTTTAGGTGCTAATTAAGTACCAAGTTTGAAAGTTAGTTGCTCCAAAATTTTCACCGCAACGAACCATTGAAATTTGCGTTGCTGGCAAAACGTATCCTTTGTATTTGCTTCTTGAACGTATCGCTAGCAACGCAAAGAAGTTATTAGATGTACGATAAATATTAATAACAAGGAATTAAGTGCTAATTAGGTGCTGCAAGTATACGCAATGACAAGGCGCCCCTAATAAAAATAAAGTCGTTATTCAGAAACAAAACAGATGCAAGATTATGGTTTTCTGAAAATCAGAATAGAATCAAAATTGCTTTTAGAAAAAGCCCAAATTAGGGGCTTTTTAGGTGCTAATTAAGTACTAAGTTTAAAAATTAGTTGCTCCAAAATTTTCGCCGCAGCGAACCATTGAAATTTGCGTTGCTGGCAAAACGTATTGCTAGTAACGCAATGAAGTTATTAGATATACGATAAATAATAATAGCAAGAAATTAAGTGCTAATTAAATGCTGCAAATATAGGCAATGACAAGGCGCCCCAGATAAAAAATAAAGTCGTTATTCAGAAAATTATTCAGTAAAGCAAATGCAAAAACCAGGACTTTGTTTTTGTGCCATCTAGCGTCTATCGCACTGACCACCTTGAGAGTCCATCGATTTTGATTCGATAAAATGACTAGAATTATAGAACGTTGTAGATGGCGCTATTTATAACAAAGCAATTTACTGGAAAGAATATAATATCCTTTCGATTTCGTACACTAAAAATAAGAATTGTAATATTTATTTGCTATAAAATTAAACTTCTATCGTATATAGTAATTAGGTCGAGTTCAAATGAGTAAGCGCCGCCTCTTACAGTCTTACACCGCTCCACCCCCACCCCGCCACGCGCTTTCTTTTGCTATTACCAGGACTATTACCGTTTAGAAGGTCCAATATTTTTATTTTTGTATGAAAATAAAAATTTTAGAAATATATGTATTTTCTTACAGATGTTGTTATTATGATGTAAATAACATATTCCCAAAAGGTCTTCAGTAAATTAAAAATTACCCTGTATACATCTTGCAAAGATCATTATTTATTAGAAGAATAAAACATTAAAATAAACAATAAAACATTTTAATAACATACTATAGCCGTATAGCCGTAAACATAATGTTTTAATAACACATACTATCTCTCTTTGGATAATAAATGTTCCCCAAATTTCGGTCGCGGCGGCCAGTCTCAAAGGAGACTAGCCATCTGCCAGGGTTATGGTGCCCGAGTGTATATGCAAGCCCAGGTGCGCTCTCTATTCCCTCACTCTCATAGTCCGATGGGATGACACGACCGGACAGAGAGATCAGGCGCTGAACCAATGGTTTTACGTGCTTTCCGAGGCACGGGGGTGAGACACCGCCTACTGAGAATTGTTTGACGCAAAAACTCAATAAATGATTTTTTGGCCTGACTCGGGATTCTAATCCGGGACCTCATCAGCAGTCGTGTTTACAACCACTAGACCAACAAGTCTCTATGGATATGAGTATATAATATAATTACGTTATTACTTCGGCAAGCAGACTTCCTATTGTACACAAACCCTTGCGTTTAGCGAAGAGTATTAGGTATTTATTTCATCAGACTGTGTTGCGTTTTAAACTATTGCACAAGACCTCGAGCTGTGCCTCGAGTGCACAGAACGCCTAGCTACCGCGCCGCCATGGCGCCGAAACCATGTAACACTGTTTACGTACTTACCTAAATATTTTTTTTGTGAATATGTACTTGTCTGAATAGTTTTTGTTTATTGTTTAGTATATTTAGTTTAAGAACAAATTAATTGTATAAGTTTTATAGAAAGTAATTTATATGTATATTATGGAAAATACATTCAATAACCATAACAGATAACTAATTTTTTTACTGACCGCCTCGTTGGTTTATTATTCGGAAACGCTAATGCTAACCGCTAGGTGTAGGGTTCGAATTCCTGGTAATGTTATAATTTTTGACACTATTTGTTTTAGTTTATTTATCCTTTAATATAAATTCATTGCGTGTGCATAGTTTTTAAATTTGATTTATTTCGTCGTTGGCTCGATCTTTTTCTTGGCGGGGTCGCGGCACAGAAACACAGATTTCACGTCTCAGTGGAGCGATTGCTACTGATGCTGATGCGTGAAATAAAATATACTGGAAGCCTCGAGTGACGTGAGATGGACGAGAATTTATTGCACGAAATAAACATAATATAGTAACTCGAAAAATGTAATAAATGTTTAAAAATCCCTATTTACTGCACTAGATATAATATAAGTGACGTCATTTATTACATTTGTTGCTTCATAATATGCACCATGACCAGAACAAATCGATTCACAATAAAAGTAAGAGGTATCTTTGTGATTTTTTTAATCGAGAAAATTTTATTCTATTATTTTTTTAACCAATGACGTCCCTCGCAATTACGATGTAATATCAATATTATTTTTTTTTTTGTTATTTTGTACTTGATGTAGCTATGTAAAAATCTGATGTACGATTAGCAATTTCTGGTGGTACGCGCCATGAAGCTAAGCTTCATGGTACGCGCTCTTAAGTACTCCTGATACTTTGCATTTGCCTCAGTCAAAACAAAAACACTACAAACTATTCAAATCGTTCGGTGGGAATTTTCCTAGAGTTTTGAGCTTGAAAATAGTTGAAAGTCCCAGGGGTAGCCTGTAGAACAATTGTTCTAAACTTTTTTTTTAACTTTGAGTATATGATTTAGAACGATTCGAAGTTAAAAATAGCCGGAAGTTGCTATTAAAAAAAGTTTTATGTAAGTAAAAAGACATCATTTTGAAACTCCAAATATTTAATTTTTTGACACAGAATTCCTGAATTCACAAGTTTTACACAAATCTGAGCAATATACACACAGTAAAAAAATTCGCATCATTGTATAAACAAATAAAGTGTTAAAAGAATGACGACTACATTCTTATGTGTAGTTCTTACGTTAACGCCTGCATTAAACAATGCACAACTAATACACAAAATTTTGTACGCAAATATGTGTACAAAATGACGCAAAATTGTTTACAGTGTAGTAAGTACAATATCAAAATTTAATCTTTGATATCGTGGATCATATTTATAGTCGATAAATCTAAGTTAACTCTATCTATTGAGTGTAAGAACATCACACCGTGTATTAATATTAATAGTGTTAGAAGTAATCTTTTATTTTTAATTTTTTTTCCTTGTTATAAAATAAAAACGCATAACTTTTTGACAAATTATTGTCAATTATGAATCTTAAACTAAGTTTTCTATTTTTTTCACAAAGACCTGCTTCTAAAATCTTTATGATAGATACTGAAATTATCTATCCGTGAGTTTATTTGGAATATACTACTAAATGCGGAACTACTTGATGACTGCTAGGACGAATTTTCGCACTGTAATTAAATTCAGTCCACTGGTTATTTCGTAGACAGAAAGCGATGTATGATCTGACTATTTGTTTTACATTTTCTTTACTCGCACTTCGTGACTCTCGTAGTGACTGGCACGAAATAATTCCTCTTAGTGTATATCCGGCAGTCATAGTTGGTAGTTTTAAGGTTTTAGGAAATTCTCTCAGACTCATTGCTTGATCATTTATTGTAGCATCACTTGTTTTGTGTGATATAATTCCAAATATAATTATATGCTCTGCAAAATTTACAAAAAAAAAATTATTACACTATTGCTAATTATATTATGCATACTTAGTTATCACCTTTATTCAAACATTAAGTTGAAATGGATTCTTCAGGAAAAAAAATCCTGATCTACTTGCATCAAAAAGACAGAACAAATCATAAATTTAAACTTACGGACTAAGCTAACTTAAGACTTAGTTTACAATGGTCCCTTTAAATTGTTTTTTTTTTCTGATAAGATCTAAGAAACAGCGTTTCGAAATCTTGATAAAGGTAATAATTTGTCAAATGTCTATAACACATTTGTACTTATTAGGTTGGCCCAAAAAAAACCGACTACTTTTATATTCCGAGTCTCTTATGAAAATAAATTAGTTTATTCAGCTTGAAGAGCCCTGTCCAAAAATCATCTGAACACACACTGAACATTATTTCACATACATTCTAAAAATTTTAAGTTTATCGATTGATTCTCAAAGGTCACTCAAGATTTTTGAAATTTTTAAGGAAGTGGACCTAAGATGTTTTCGAGTGACTTCAAGCTGCATATCGATATTAACGAACTTTTTCTTTTTCTTCCTAATGTTAAGATACTGAAAAATAAAATTAAATCAAGAAGTACAAATAAAAGTCCGACATACAATTATAATTCCTTAAATTTAATTGACGAATATTCATCCAGCATTTAATAACAAATTGATTTACTCTTTATTTTTTTTCTTTATCTGTTATATTATCTGTATGATCTTTAATTTTAAACGTTTTTTTTTTATTTTTTATTCTCATTAACATTTATATATATATAATCAATACTCTAATCTAAAAAGTTTCTCGTAATTTTTCTCTAATTCTTTTTTTTTCTAATTCTCTAATCTTGAGAATTTTCCAGTATATACATAATTCGTCAGAAATTTCCAGTTTATACATAATTAACAACATTTTAGCAACTAAAAAGAAAATAAAAGAAATTCAGTTTTGGAAGATTTTGGAAATTTTTAAAAATCTTAAGCAGCCCTTAAGAAATGTTTTATTGAACTGATCTTTGAACAGGGCTCTTAAAACATGATAAATTACATACTTTCGTATGCGACTCAAAATATAAAAAAGCTTTTTTTTTTATTTGGCCACCCAAATATATCGTATAATAAAGCACAAAATCAAATACGATTTGTGATATCGTTATTCATCAATTATTTTGATTGAGACAACGAAAATAGAATCCAAAATAGCTAAGAATAATTGCGCATCTCCAACGCTACTTGACTAAGTAGTAAACATATTTTAAAACTCATCAAAGAAACATTACGAACTCTTCATTTTAACATTGTAACAACTTTGATACGACTTACCACTCACTAATCAACTAACAAATAAAAGAGTTTTTTTGTTACAAAATATATTCCGCAGGTTTCAATAAATGAAAATTGCTAATAATTTAACAAATATTAAGTTATCCGTGAGTATTTAAGAAAACTTGAGAAACGTTGGGTATTTTTTATATTGATAATAGTTGGTTTAAAACTTGAGAAACTTATGAGATGTCTTTTATTTTAGGTTTTTTAGATCCTATTTTACACTAACTTGAACATAAATTGTTATATATATATTTATCTCAATCGTGTCAAAAATTGTATCAATTCATTTTTCGCAGTATAGAAGTAAAAGTTTACCAGTAGTTACTGATCCTTCCAAATTTCCATCGCAATTTTTAACCGAACATTTATCATTTTCAAAAATAATTCGATTCAGATTTTCATTAAAATTTTTGTCCTTCAAAACGGCAATTTCAAGTAAAGGAAAGTTTAACTGACTAACAACTTCCTCACAACCAGCATCACATTTTTCAGTCCTCTTTAATCCGTATGGCACATTATCAACTAGTTCTTTCCAAAGATATCCAGCATCGATATTACAATCCAAAACTTGACAATCAAATTGAAGATCTCCTTTTTGCGCATAAGATAATAGTATTTCAACCCGTTTACGATAAGTTTTGAGTGAAATTCCACTTTTTGTTGCTTCTTGAATCAGTTTAATGAAATTGTTTTCGTCATTGTATCGAGATAAGTAATCACAAACAATGTCGCTGTCCAGAGAAATTGTTAAAAGCATTTGGAAAAGCATGTCGAATGCATTTGTATTTTTCAAATTTATTTTTATTTTATTTATAGACACAGCTTGTAGATTCGTGTCCGATCCAGCCTTTAATATGGGAACCTTTGATAATTTATCCTTTAAGAGAAATGCATTTTGTGGATAGTTTTCTTGTAAATAACGTCCACGATTCTCTTCATTACTTTTATATACTTGATTTTTCCAATTATCAAATTTTTTGGATTCTATTAATTCATGAACATTACTTTGTTGACTACAATCAATACACATCCAACTTTCTGATGTACCTTTTTTACTGTCATCGACTTTTATCGCTGAACACACATTACATTTAATAATGCGTTGACATACCTATAATAATAATAGTATTGATAATAATAATAGTAGTAACAACCAATAATAACCATTTACTATTGCCGTACCATCAATACACCCCTAAATCTGTTCTGGAGAGCGACAGCCACAGAATGTACTTTGATAGAGCTATTCTTACCGATAAAACAATTCATTACAATAGACCGGATATAACTTTAATTGACAAATAAAATAAAATATATACCTAATTGAAATAGCAATCCCAAATACCCATAATCTACCATAAAACCATTACTGAAAAAATTCATAAATACACAGAACTAAAAAAAGATGTAATCTGGAATTTGGAAAATGAACAAAGTATCCATTGTACCGCTGGTGCTCTCAAGTACTGGTGTGATCCCGAAATGTTTGTCCCACTCCCTTAAACTATTAGATTGACTTAGGCCCGTGAGCATTTCTCAAAAACCAAGATCTTAGAAAATCTTGAGAAAAAACAGAATACATAAAAATAATAATAATTAGGCGTAGGAAGTGACGAGACCATCGGCCTCTGACGTAACAGTTAAGTGACAAAACTGCTACGTCTGTGCAGTCAGTCAGCGCCTTGCCAAGAGGTGTGAGCACCGTGCCTCGGTAGAATTGAGGATGCAAAGGCCCGTTTGTGCTTACGGCCACACCATGGAACGGTTCCGGGCCTGAGCAACGTCTGGAGCTGGCGCTGAACGCACCAGCATGCGGGCCGCCAGCCGAGCACGAGGTGCTGTACGACCATCTAGCAGCCCTACGCATCCATCATCCCTACCAAATTGCTTGGTGTCGGCAGGGTCCTCTAGGACTCGGCCCGCGGCACCCGCCGCTGGGGGAGAACGCCGCATGCGTTGGAATAAGGATATAAACACAAACGCATTGCGGACGTACTATAGGGCGAAAGGGGGGAAGAAACTGGAGGGATATCGGACACGGATGCATCGCTTTTTTGCTGAGCTGGAGCCATCTGTTCCCGTCACAGAGCAAACCCTAGCAGACCGAGTTCGGTACATCATGCGCTCGAAAATTCTGAAGAAGGGTTGAAGACCGTATCGCAAAGGCAAGGGCCCTGATTGGCAGACTGATAAGCTTTAGTTCGGGCAATAATAGGCCGAGAATTGTGCGCACCGTCAGGATGGCGTTTTCTGGGATGAATATCAGTTTGTCCCAGCCGGATATAATGCAAAAACTGACGGAGCGCATAGATGACCTGAAGCAGAGAATCGCTGCTTGGGGGAAGCGGATTCGGGGATATACCAAGAGGTCGACACGATTCAACCAGAATCGTCGCTTCCAGAGTGACCAGAGGAGGTTCTACAAATCATTGGAGCGGCCAATGGTACGTGGAACGGGCCCAGCACTGAATCAGGCCAACACTGTAGAATTCTGGCCACCAAACCACAGTGAGAGCTCTTGGATGGAAGTTGTGGCGAGTCAGTGTGCGAATATTACGCCCATGGATCCCAACATTATAACGCCAGACGACGTAGCTAAGGCGGTCCGAAGGGCCCCGAACTGGAAAAGTCCGGGGCTCGACGGATTGCATCACTACTGGCTGAAAGGGTTCGTGGTGTGTGACGCTTTGCTCGCCCGACAGTTTCAAGAGGCTCTCGAACAGAAGTCGCTCCCGAGCCTCTTCACTACTGGAATCACTTTTTTGTTTCCTAAAGACCAAGATGGTATCTGTGTACACAGACCCAAGCAAATACCATCCCATCACGTGTCTAACTACCATATACAGGACACTAACATCCATTTTGAGTGCGAGAATCACTCGTCACCTGACCTCAAATCAGGTGATGTCGCGCGCTCAAAATGGATGTCGGGGCGGTGGTCGTGGAACCAAGGAACCACTCTTCATTGATGCGGACATTGGCAAGGTGGTTAATCACCAAACCATCGGAACCTCTCCGCCGCCTGGATAGATTATAAAATGGCATTTGACTCGGTGCCTCATACATGGCTGGAGAGACTCCTCTAGCTGTACAAGGTTGACTGTACAGTTCGAGACTTTCTCGGACAGTGTATGGGGCAGTGGACTACGATCCCTTGTCATCTAGGCGAGCGGATGACGGCTGCGGAGAACCACATAAGGATAAGAAGGGGTATCTTCCAGGGCGATTGCTTGAGTGCCATCTGGTTTTGCCTCTCCCTAAACCCTCTCAGTACCTTACTGGAGGGTTCCGGGAGGTGATTTCAGCTTCGGAAAGGAGGTACAAAAGCGACCCACCTTTTCTATATAGATGATCTTAAGTTATTCGCCTCCAGTCGCTCCTATCTTAAGGAATCGCTAAACATCACTTGTGATTTTAGCGATTCTATCAGAATGGAGCTGGGGACGGAAAAGTGTGCGGTCTTCCATGTCGAAAGGGGTAGGGTTGCTAACTCTGAGGGCATAGACTTATCTATGCCCATCAACATAAGGACTCTATCTGAGGCAGAAACATACCGATAACTGGGTATGTCACAGAACATAACATGAGGCGGACATGAAACAGTCAGTTTGCATGTGTTTTACTTTTATGCACGCTTGACAAAAGTGCTGACTGTTAGTCTTTTGTCGGGCGTTAATAAGACACACGAATATAATGGTTGGATTATGTCTGTTTTCATGTATACCTTAGGCATACCCAGGTGAACTCAAGCGGAACTGAACGTTCTGGATAGAAAAGTCCACACTGTTATGACTTCTCACAGGATGCGTCATCCGAGATCATCAGTAATGAGGCTGTACTTGCCGCGGAAATATGGTGGGCGTGACTTTTTAAGCGCTCTCACCATGCATAATCGCAAAGTGTGCAGCCTCCGTAATTACTTCCTGACGAAATCGAATGATTCATTCTACAGGGACGTCATTTCGTGAGATAAAGGGTTAACCTCTGCTAACGAGCAATAGCAAGACCCACCAGTACAGAGCATTTCCGACCAGGAGACCGTATGGAAGGAGAAGGAGCTCCACGGGAGGTTCTATAAGGCTCATGAGCCTCCACAGGCTACGTTTTGGTGACCTCTTCGGGGAAAGAAGGGTTTTTTTATGCAATACAGGATCAGGTTATTAAGACCAAAAATTATTGGAGATACATTCTAAAGGATGACACCGTCAACATCTGTCGAACTTGTCGCTATCCCGGTGAGTCACTTAGGCATGTCATCTCCGGTTATTCGGCGCTTTCTAACTCTGAGTATTTTCACAGACACAACCTAGTAGCCAGAATTCTACACCAGGAGCTCGCTTTGAAATACGGTCTCGTGGGTCGGAAACTGCCTTATTATAAGTACTTGCTGGATGCCGTGCTCGAAAATGACCAGCCCAGCTTTACGGGGACCAGGCCATCATCACAGACAGGACTATTCTTGCGAATAAGCCTGATATTTTGCTGATGGACCGAGCACTGTTAAGGATATTTTTGGTCGACATAACCATTCCATATGACGACATCCTCCTAAAAGCTGAAGCAGATAAGAAAGCAATATATTTGGACCTGGCTTACGACGTTTCTGCAAACGGGTTAATCCCGGTCCGCCTTTCGGGTCATCTGAGGCGACTGGAATTCCGTGACGGACCGCGCCGGGCTCAAATGCAGAAGGCGGTGCTCCTCGATACCGCCCGTATCGTTTTCTTTTATAGTATAGGGTGACAAACGAGCGCACAGTCCACCTGATGGTAAGTGGCTGCTGTGGCCCATAGACATCTACATCCATCCTCGCTTGCGAATCAAAATGCAGATGCGTTGTCACCCGTGAGGACTAAGATGGAATGCCTCTTTTCCAGTAAAAAGGGTCTCCGGTTCTCTACACTCACCATACGAAACACAGCAGTTTTAAGCTGCTATTTTACGCTGGTATTCTGTGAGAGCGTGGTCCTTCCCCGGTCGAGCCGACCCATTCGTGCTACAACTATACTATTAATATAGCTGCAGCATGGCTCTACCACGTATAATCGTCGTCCGCCGGTATTTTTCCCTTTCCCCGTAAGCCTCGGCCGTTTTGTCTCCAAGGGCCTGCCGAGGGCTTCCATCTGGTTGGGATTTTATTTATTTATGTATTATTTATTTATTTCTGTTAGTATAATTAATATTTATTTATGTTTATTTATTATTTCCTTTAATATATTTTTTCAACCCAACCAGATGAGATTACTCTATAAGTACCCCAAAATAATAATAATGACGATAATAACTAAGTTCGTTACGACTTGTCAGTTGATTAAAAATTGTATGGATTAAATGAAAATTTGCTGAGTATACTTACTAAACATACTAGACACTTGACTGATACAGGGCCACAGGTCTCACAGTCATTAGTATTATGCCAAACTTTTTCATTATCATCTAGTTTACCTTTTACATTTTTATTATTGCATGAATAGCAAATCCTTTTTTGTCCATACCCCTCATCGTCACTTTCATATGGCATAGAACATCCGTCTAAAGCATGAACAGCTGTTTTGCACATCTGAATAATGAATATTTATAAAATTAATTATTTATTTATTTATGTAATAATTTTTATAGTCATATTCACGTAAAATATGTGTAAAATATATAGAATTGGTACCCATAGAAATTACTACTAAATTATAAATTACTACTACTTGATCCGTAATACAATAATTAATAAATATCGTAGAGAATTGAAAAGAAAAAGAATATTTAGGTTTAGAAAACTATTAAGTAATCTGTGATTTAGGTTTCAAACTTATAGTTGTGAAATATTCTTCAATTTGAAAAAAAGTATAAAGAATAAAAGAATAAATTTTTTTCACAATTTTACAAATAAAATTCACTCAAAACAAATAAAATTATTTAATAGAATAATTTCATTAAACTCATTATTTCAAAATTTCTTTTATTTTATTCGAGCAAACAAATAAAAAATATCAAAAAAAGTAAAGAAGATTGTGTTCCCACTAATTTTGAAAAATCGTTAATTTTTTTTTATAGGATAGGGTGACAAACGAGCACACAATCCGTTCAGGATTAATTCACTAAAGAAGTAACTTTCTTTTGTGATCTTTTTTTAAAATTTTATTTATATTATGAGAGCATCTTAGTTCCTCAGATGAGAACAAAAGTACATTTGATAAAGTAAAATCAATATTTATATTATTCTTTAAAGAGAAATCATATTGAAAATTAAATTTTCAGAGAACTAAACATTACGGTGTCACTACAAAATAGTAAAGAATTGTTAAATAATAGCAGTAATAAAAAATCATAATTACCACACAATAATGAGCCCCTTCTGGCAGATTTCCCATTTTACACGCAATACATGAGTTAGATGCCGATTGATCGACTTTACACTTTTGACTAGCATCAGTATTTCTTTCTATATTACTTTGATTCATATCTTCTTTATCAGCATCTTCAGACAATAATTTCGCAGATAAAATTTTTGATTTACCGTCAATATACTCTCTATGTATTTCGACAAACGTATCTACACGAGTAGGAATTGAGATTTTTTGATTGGGCAACAAAATTGTCTTAATATTTTTAAATTCTACTTCAACGTGACCACTAGATGCTGGATTCCGACCATATCCTATTTTTAATAGAAAAACACAACTCCATAAAGCTAACCACTTGAGATCATCTAGTAACTGCGTTGATACTTTCGGAAACCAATGAGGATTAATACCGATTCCTTTATTGACTTTTATGTTTTTTTCAGCTTTCGCAAATATTTTTTTACCTCTGTCACGAAATGTACTAGGTTCAGCTTTACTTTTCGTTTTCTTCCGGTTAAGTTCTACATCATCTTCTAAGTCAGAACCACTTGAATCACTTGATTCAGGTTGAACTAAGCTTTTATAGTCGAACTCATGTAAAATAGACGCTATAAAATCCTTTTGTTCTTGGCATTCGGATAATAAGTTTTCATTTTTTTCTTGTACACCATCAGACTCACTGGAAGATATTACAAAAATCGCATAAATTAATTTATCGGCTTCATCAAGACTAGTACATCGAATCAATTTTCCTATACAAGCCAGATAGAATTTCTTTACTTCAACTCGTGCAGTTTTTAATATATCTACATATTTTTTAATATGGTGAGCCACATCGATTCGGACATAACAAGGAGGAAGTTCATCACTGAGGAATGAATCGGCATATTGATTAATTGTTTTAAAGGGTGTAAACGTTTTAATTGTAGCTGCAAGTAAGGCTTCAGATGCATCACACACAACTTCTTTTGGAGGCTCTACTCCACTTTGTAGACTCCATTCTGATAACCAGTGTGCAATAACTCTAGTCGTATGCCTATCACTAATCATTTGAGCAACAGACGTATGATCACCATCTGACGTACTAATAACTGCAGCATATAAAAAAATAGGCCCACTTTTTCCGTTATTCGGTAAATTTATCCGTCTACATATAGAGCCAGTAGCATCGATTGCCATACAAATATGCTTTTTTTGTTGTAGGGTCTTATAAACAGTAGTTTGATGTTTTGTGAAGTAATGCACATAAAAGGGTTTTAATGACATATTTACGATGTCATCTTTCATGTCAGTTACACTATGCCAGTATAATGCTAGCAAAGGATCTTCGTGTACATGGTTTTTAGCGATGGCTTGAGATCTGATTTGTCGCAAGACATTTTTTGAATAGAGAACCCCAGGTTCTTTTCCACCATTTGGCATTAACTCATTTGCCATTTCTACTCTCACAACATGTGCCGATTTATTTTGCAAAATTGTTCCTAGCCTATCTCTTACACCAGCTCGTGCTGGTCGTTTTCCACATCTTCCACTACCTTCATTTATTCGACAATGAATTTTCATTACATCATCCTCGCGCTCAAAAGTACTTTCAATCTCCGACTTACAATCACAGTAACCAAAAGCATGCCCTGATGATCCATCAACTGTTACGTTGTGACGTTGAAATTTAAAACCACATTTAATTTTGGTCTTTTCAATAATTTTTTTATTTAAAAATTCTTGCCATTCACCTAAAAAGGAAAAGAAAAGTGATAAATATTTAAAAATAAATAAATATTTTGTAATATTTTATCATCATCATAAAAGTGTATTGATATAGTTAGTTTATAAGTTTTAAATAATTATTATTTTAAGATATTCTTTTATTAAACAAAAAGTGAATAAAGAACAAAATGGCAGGCAAATGTTCTTGGCAGTAAACTTTACATTGTATATAGCTTTAATAAATACAACATTTTCCAAAACTAGCAGACATGTAACAATTCTTAGAATTTTGTTCGACAAGCAATTTATTTCAGACATTCCTCAAAATCTTAAAACGAAATTGTACAACCAGTGCGTGTTGCCAGTGATGACTTACGGATCTGAGACGTGGTCCTTCACTGCTGGTCATATGAGGAAGCTCAAGGTCGCTCAGCGAGCTATGGAGAGGGCTATGCTCGGAGTTTCTCTGCGTGATAAACTTAGAAATGAGGATATCCGCAGTAGAACCAGAGTGACCGACATAGCCCAACGGATTAGTAAGTTAAAGTGGCAGTGAGCCGGCCATATAGCTCGAAGAACCGACAACCGATGGGGAAGAAAGGTTCTTGAGTGGCAGCCTCGTACCGGTAGGCGAAGTGTAGAGCGACCCCCACTAGATGGAGTGACAACCTGGTAAGACATGCATCAAGTCGATGGATGCAGGTGGCTCAGGACCGTGCTTTGTGGTATTCCTTGGGGGAGGCCTATGTTCAGCAGTGGACTTATGAAAGGCTGTAATGATAATGATAAAGCAATTTATTGTAGAATAAATTTGAAAAAAATATCACATGTGGAAATTTTATAAAACTATAAATACAAATTTCATAAAACATTTTTTCAGTACTAGTTTATTTCACAAATAAAATAAATAATTATCAGAAATGTCTGCTGCTTTCGGTATCATAATATAATAATTCTGTCATAACTAAATTGATAAACTTATATGTAATAAATAAAATATTGAGAGTCCATAATACTGACCTTGCTTCAATTTTACTACTTTACGAACATATTTTTTCTTTTGAGTCCATTCATAATTTATAACAAGTAGTTTCTCAAATTCATTGTAGGGTAAGAATATATCACACTCAAAGACATTATCTGAAACACTTTCTAGAGATTCTTCTAAAATAGCAGATTCTTGTAACATATACAAATCATCGACGAGTGATTCATTACCACCAATTTCATCATGTTCGATATCTTTGTTTTTATCACATACTTGAATGCCTCTAGCCAAACTTAATTTTGTCCTAACGTTATCTTTGTTACACGTAACGTAGGAATAAAGAGATTGAGTCTTTCTTATGGCATCAATATTACTTTCTTTATATGTATCATTTAATTTTGTAATTATTTCATTCCATTCAGGCCTAGACTTGGCTAAAACTTTACCCTCTTCTGTTATGATTATTTTGTTGTACGTCTCCAACACATTATAGGTAATATCCTTGTCGAATTCTCGAGGTTTTCCTCTTTTCCGAGAGATTTTATTAATGCTCATAATGATAAACTCTTTTTATTTATTATAAATAGTTGTCAATGTAAATAAACGTTGTTGTTTTGCGGAGTAAGTCTTGGATAAATACAACTCAAAAATTGGCCAATATTTCTCTTATATTAGCTGGCGTCTTGCGACTCTGCTAGGTACATTATTAAAGTTAGATCTTCTTCGAATGACTTTATTGAAAGTAAAATTAATACGCTAAACGATATGCAGAAAAAATTAAGATAATATCAAAGTAAAACAATGATATACAAACTAGGGAAGTAGAACTCACCTTGTGCATGTAAAGCGCGAGGAGCTAAATTATGCTTTACTGTCGCCTAAAAACAAAAACTCGTTGATTTCAAGTTTGAAATCATTTTTAAATTAATCATACATAATTGAACTGTGGAGAAATGCAAGCCGAAACTAAGATAAAATATTGTTGAACAAATTCATATAAAAAATTTTTTGAAAATAATTTTAGCGAAATTTTCTATATAAACATGTTGTTTTAAACTAAAACTTATTCCTCTCGAACTCTCGAAGTATACTCGTATGATTAATACGCACAGCTGATTCGAAAACTATGGTTAATTATTATTCGTTTTTTGTAATTAAAATATTTCTAACATTACTTTTTCATAATTTTTAGAATCTGAAATACCCATGTGACATGAAATAAATTGTAGCATCAAGGTTAAGAATTAAAGTACGGCGCCAACTATTTGATGCTTATGTAATTTAGCTGACAACAGATTGCAGTCAACTTACCAACTTACACTGCAAGAAAATCATAGAACTCATACGTACCGTTTGTTGTTTTCATAAAACGACCTCTCGTTTTATGAAAACAATTAATTTGTAATAAAAAAAATATTTTTATTATAAATTGAAATAAAAACTATCCTGTCCTCAGTTGGAACAAATCCAGCGAAATGAAAAAAAAATTAAAATCAGTTGAATAGGTTCGGAGTCCATAGTGGACAAACACCGTGACAGATTTTTTTATGTACATAGATATATAATTATAAATAATTTTTAACTTTTTATATCATTTATATGTTTAATATGATTGTTCGATACGATTTTATGCGAAAAAACGTTAGAATCTTGATTTTTAGGCGCTAGTAGAACATACCTACGCGCTTTGCACTAAAAGGATGCAATACCTACGGCATTCAAAAAACTCTGGCGTGAGCAGGATTCGAACCGTGGACCTCGCGCCTTTCAGACTGACTCGCCAGTCGTCGATCTAATACCTGTGCTAATACATTGAATTGAAGTATTAGGTTTCATTTCATGTGAATTTCAAGTAGTGCAAATCTTAAACATAATATATTCTTAGTCAATAAAATTTTGTATCTAATTTATTAATTATAAATTATTAAGTATAACCAACACGAAGTTATGACTTGATAATATTCAAATTATATCTATTAATTGAGTATTCAAATTATTGAATTAATTTACATTTACAGTTTATTTCAATAAAAATTAATTGTTATTAATAATTGTGTTTTGAAGTTTTTCAACGAGCGCAAATACTTGTGTTTTTCTAATTATTCGATTGCTAATATGATAATATGGAATTTATAAATTTACGAATAACAGATTTGTAAATTAATCTGTTAAATTAATTGTTCTTGAACTAGAAATATTGTTACTAACCCGACTTTGTTTTATTTATATTTTATACAAGAAGATAGATACTCGCACAATAAGATTCTTCAATAACACTCAAAACAGAACAAATTAATGGGTAACCTTTATATCCTTTTTCAAAGTAAATCACGAACAACATGGAACAGAAAAAAATTACAGTGAATTCTACAGTTCTTTTGGCAGCCATGTATAAAAATATTTCTAAAAACAGCTTGACGACGTACCTAGCTGTTACTAAACTGTTTTTATACTATTCTCTGAAATGTACAGCTGAGCTTCGGTAATATAGTCTCGTCTTGAATCTTTTTGTAATCATTCGTTAAACGCTAGATGGCATTCAACTGTAAAGGATCATGCCTGAAGGTAGTTAATGAGGGCTAATAATTTTCTACTCACTAGATGTCGCTAGGCGACACTGAGGTATAGTTTTTTGTTACACAATGTAATTTAATTGAGAGGTTGTTTTTAAATAAAGTTTTATCAGTTTCTAGAGTATTAAACAAAACAATGTGTCAGTGGTTTGCTCTTTAATGTTTTGTACATTTTTAACCTTTTTTTTAATTTTTCTACTTTTATGCATATCTGTGGTTTAGTTTATTTATTTTTGAAATTATTAATATAAAATATTGCTAATAGTACAGAAAGAAACAATAAATTTTATATTTTCCGAACATATTAACTTCCCCGCTATGAAGCCTGCCAAATAATATAACTCACTTTCTAATGGCGCTGCCCTGGTGGCAGAAAAAGTCGTGGATGCCCTCATTCCTTTAATGCTCACGCTCTTCATATGAAAATTCATAATTTTGCAATAAAACAATGGAATAATCGAGAAAAAACCGTTTTATATATTAAGATAAAAAGATAAAATATCGTAAAAAATTTTGCCCACTCTGCGTATGAAACAACAAATGGAGAATGAAATAGACATAGGAAATAGACATGTTGTATCAATCATGAATGATTCGTTCGTTTGAACTGGGACACTTTAAAGGTATTAATGATTCATCTGTAGACAAGTTAGTAATTTGTATGTGACTGAGATAATCATGAAAGTTACTAACAAATTACAACTTTACTAAACTATTTTGTCTTTCGTGGCACATGTTTATGAGATACGAAAACTGTTTATTAATTATTTACTTAATAATATATCAAGATTTCAAATATAAACCCTAACACACAGTTTACGCTGAAGTTCAGACCCATTTCAGACCACTATGTAATCAATTTATGAACGGTAAAATAACGTATTTGTAGTATTTGTTTATGTTTGAACAAAAACTTTAATATAAACTGGTCGGTAAGCTATGAAATCGTGAATTGTTATGAATGGATTGAACAAACATGATAACTTTATTCAATATCATTATTTATTTTATTTATTTAATAAATTTGTTTATTTTTTAAATAAATAAAATAAATCCATTTTTATGTTTACGCCATCTAGCGTCATTTATACCTACCACCTTGAGAGTCCGTCGGTTTTGGTTCGATAAAATGATTAAAACTATAGAAAAATGTAGATGGCGATATTTATTATGAAGCAATTTTACTGGAAACAAAATATTATTTTGATTAAGTACACTAAAGTTTAGGCTTCACATGTCTAAAAATAAGAATTGTAACATTTATTTGGTTGAAAATTATATTAAATAATATTATGGATTATATAAAATCTGAAAAACAAAAAATGCCGTTCATACCTAATAGTAAGGTAATGGTGGTTTTAAATCCGATAATTTCCGGAATATTACCGTCATCTCCTTGTGATCTCAATAATCTTTCAGCACCTAATTAGCACTTAATTTTTAAGCACTAATAAAGAACAAAAAATATCGTTCAAACATTATGGTAAGGTTAAGATTAATTCCCAGAATAATATCTTTTGTATCGGGTTCTTCGTACGTCGTAACGTCAACGCAAATTTCAATGGTTCGTTGCGGTGAAAATTTTGGAGCAACTAACTTTCAAACTTGGTACTTAATTAGCACCTAAAAAGCCCTTAATTTGGACTTTTCTAAAAGCATTTTTGATTCTTTTCTGATTTTCAGAAAACCTGAATTTTGCATCTGCTTTGTTCTGAATAACTACTTTATTTTTATTAAGGGCGCCTTATCATTGCGCATACTTGCAGCACCTAATTAGCACTTAATTCCTGGCTATTAATATTTATCGTATATCTAATAACTTCATTGCGTTGCTAGGGAGACGTTTTGCTAGCAACGCAAATTTCAATCGTTCCTTGCGGTGAAAATTTTAGAGCACCTAATTTTTAAACTTGGCACCTAATTAGCACTTAATTCTTAGGTACTGATACAGAACATAAAATGCCGTTCATACCTTATGGTAAGGTAATGGTGGTCATGGAGCCTATAATTGCCATAATAATGTCTGAATCTGTATCGGGTTTCGATAATCGCTCAGCATTTAATTAGCACTTAATTCCTAGCTATTAATATTTATCGTATATCTAATAACGTACTTGCGTTGCTAGCGATACGTTTTTCCAGCAACGCAAATTTCAATCGATCGTTGCGGTGAAAATTTTAGAGCACCTAATTTTTAAACTTGGTACTTAATTAGCACCTAAAAAGCCCCTAATTTGGGCTTTTTCTAAAAGCATTTTTGATTGTATTTTGATTTTTAGGAAATCTGAATTTTGCATCTGCTATGTTCTGAATAATGACTTTATTTTTATTAGGGGCGCCTTGTTATTGCGTATACTTGCAGCACCTAATTAGCACTTAATTCCGTGCTATTAATATTTATCGTATATCTAATAACTTCATTGCGTTGCCAGCGATACGATTTGCCAGCAACGCAAATTTCAATCGATCGTTACGGTGAAAATTTTAGAGCACCTAATTTTTAAACTTGGTACTTAATTAGCACCTAAAAAGCCCCTAATTTGGGCTTTTTCTAAAAGCATTTTTGATTGTATTTTGATTTTTAGTAAATTTGAATTTTGCGTCTGTTATGTTCTGAATAACGACTTTATTTTTATTAGGGGCGCCTTGTTATTGCGTATACTTGCAGCACCTAATTAGCACTTAATTCCTTGCTATTAATATTTATGGTATATCTAATAACTTTATTGCGTTGCTAGCGAGACGTTTTGCTGGCAACGCAACTTTCAATCGTTCCTTGCGGTGAAAATTTTAGAGCACCTAATTTTTAAACTTGGCACCTAATTAGCACTTAAAAAGCCCCTAATTTTGGATTTTTCCAAATGCAAATTCCCGATTTTGCGTTGCTAGCGATACATAGCTATTAAGCGCTCATATTGTTTCGCTTATAAAATGCCACAAGTAAATTTAATTTTCTATAAGTATCTTTTAATACTTTAATAGATGAGATTGATTTTAAAATATACAAAATTTGATTTAACTATAATGTAATTTTTTTGCATTTATTATTTTCCACTTTACACAAGTTTACTTGTGCATCGATTTTGTTATGCATTGCAAACTGATGGGTTAAAATAAAGTCAAGCGTTGCAAATTTGTTGATGATGAAATTTGCTGTCAAATATTTAATTTTTTAATTTCTTTTTTATAATTAAAGTGTTATAATTAATTGAAAGAGGCCGTGACTATTCAAATTTTATGGACTTTTGATGTATTCTACTTCTCATTTGTTGACATAGTTCCACATTTGTTAGATAAGCAAATACATATTGACTAATGTGTATTTGTATGTTTAATTATTAAAAGTGCTGGATTAGAATATATATATTGACAACTAAATTTGTTCATCAACAAAATCCATATTCAATATGTGAATGTTTTATAATAACATTAAACAATACATTGTTTAAATCATGGTGTTCTGATAACTTCATATTCATCCTTCCAGGGCTTGGTGTTAGCTGGTTTGGGTGACTTAAATCGACCTGTTGATAAATTATCAATACCCCAGTCTGTGTCCCTAGCAGCAACCGGATTGATCTGGTCGCGTTACTCACTTGTTATCATACCGAAAAACTACAGCTTGTTTGCAGTGAATGTGTTTGTTGCCGCTACAAGCTTGTATCAAATCGGTAGAGCTTACAGATATCAACGATCTCTAAAGAAGAAGGAATAATTTTTAGCGCGAATTTTAACTCGTAGCTTAGGTAAAAGGGTTAAAATTTAGAATCGTTCGGCAGGAGAGGTGGCAGGGGATGGAGGGGGAGTGTCCCCTAACCCCCCGACACTACTCCCATCAAAAGGTAATACACCGTTCTTGAGAAAAAATCAAAAAGACAACCACAAATGAGATAACATTTCATCTCCGGCAGGAGGGGAAAGGGGAGGAGGGAGCGGGGTTGTCTCCTATCACAGCTGTAGCTCAAGTATTTCTGGGTGGTAAAAAAAATAACCACGAAAGCTAACCAAAAAAATTATCTCGAAAACCGTGCATTACCTCTTAACATGAGTGGTATTGTTATAATCGGGGACCAAACCTCTACCAAATAAAACACCTTAATGCCCCAAATTCCTGCCAAACGATTCTAAAACCAACCCAGTAAGTCTCACTGGGATTATTCTGTTTTGCCAATACACCTTATGTAATTAAGAAGCTGCAATATTGATTTATAAGCGTCTTTAAATTAAAAATTTTAGACTTGTGTTGACGACATAAAAAAAAATTATAATTCGTCTCAAGGGTGTCGTGAGTGGCGACAATAGGAAGTGATAGAAAGTTCTCGTAGCCTCCAGTAAATGTTGGAATAACAATCTTGTGTATTATTTACATTAGATGTAAAATATCCAGATTGACGATGATAAAAAGAATTAGGGTTGACGAAAACTAACTTCCAATCAAAGTCCAAGTAGAGGAGATCCGTGTCTAACTGTGGAGTACCTATCTAAAGACATGGGTAGGAATAATCGAGACTGAAGTTTAAGCAAAATATGAATCTTGTTCAAATAACTGTTCTGTATCAATTAATTATTAAGGCTTTGACTAATTTTATATTTTTGGCTGTCTGCTTGACTGCCTCTTGTCGAGTGTTTCCAGGTTTTTTTCGTGTTTGCTACTAAATATTTTAATAAAAATAATATGCACAATTTTCCAACACTTTCAACTTCAGATTACGTAAATTGTATTGGTGAAACAATTAGACATTGGACTTGTAAAGGCTCTAAAATATTTATTGCTACGTCGATCTATGTGGAAACAAATGATGATGTAGATACCATCGTACGTACCATTAAGGTACCATTCCGTAGCTGACCGCAGACAGCAACAGCAGGCGACGTGTCGTCACGACGTGTAGTCGCGTCGTGTCGCGACGATACGTCGCTGATTCCGAACCCGACTGCAGGCGGCAGCAGCACGTGTTCTATATATACCTATTTATCGCTTTTATTTAACTCCTTTCCTATATTTTTTTCTTTTATCACACTGTTTAAATAATTATTGTGAGATGCATCGTACAGTGCGGGATATTGGGCCAACCAGGTTTGTCAGTTTCTCTTTCACGGAATCGGTGAAACTCATTGTTTTGAGAATAATTCAACGTGTCGCTCGGCACTACTGATCTGCGTGTCGTCTGCCGCTCTGGCAAACGACGTGTCGCTAGCTACGGAAGGTATTTCATAGAACTACATAGGAACCAGTCGTGTCGCGACGACACGTCGCCTGCTGCTGCTGCGTGCTGTCGGCTACGGAATTGTACCTTTATACGTTAAATTATAAGCCTCCACTAATTCCGGTGTATTTGTATAGGTCAAAAGCTTAAAAGTAAGACGCGTACATCGTAAAACGAAACGTAGAACGTAGATAATAAAATATTTTAAAAGTTAAGAATGCTTGCACTTGCTTGCGAATCAATAGATAAATTCGAAATAAACGACATTAATAGTTCGGGTGTGTTAGATTTAAGCTCAATCGAAAGAGGAACTTAGGATTAAAAAACTCAATATTTGATTTTAAGGTACGAATTCTAATAAAATGCAATAGTGGAATGTGTTGCACTGATTTAATTTGATAAAACAAAATTGACAGCTTATAACACAGATAAAAGACAGATATTACATTCGTAGAGCAGTTATTTATTGTCTGTGCTAAAATATTTTATTTCTTTTTTTAAAATACTAAATTGAATAATATGTAATGGTGCTCCTTTCGTCATAAGCGTTAGGCTTTAAATGGCACATCTGTGATAAAGTATGATACGTAACTTATTAAAAATGTAAATGTTATATTAACATACACAATTAAGTCTTCTACAAGATGTAATAAAACAAGAACCTATTGTCTTTACTTTGATACGTTGTATTTTGTAAATAGAACTGCGTTTAGAAATTAATCTTTCTATTATTTTATGATACCTCCAATGAAATAGTGTATGTTAATAAACATAAACAAGTATGCATATTATAATGACATCATTACGATCACGGGTATTGTATTGTGAATCATGTTGAAACAATTAAAGATATATTGTAAAAGTTATAACGTCTATTTTTGTATCGCCTTTTAATTGTTTTAAATATATAAATCTTTTTTTTCACATTTTCAATCTTTTCTTTTTTAATCTTTGCCACACTTTCACTGTCACTTTTATTTTTCCGTGTATTATCTTATATTTATTTATATTTCTATTATAAAATGGTATTGCAAGTTAAACGATCAAGGAAAGGTAAATATTAGCATGTCATTTCTAGTTTAACTGTACGTACGCTTTTAGTATCCTTAAAACGCATGCAATTTGCACTTACCAATATACTAATGTAATATTAGGTATATACAATAATTTAAATCAAAGTAATAATATTTACCGTTTACGTATTCGTCGGCGCTGATTAACTAACAGTGGTAAAGCCACATGGCAGCTTCTGCTGTTGGGTCGGCTCGAACTGGGATAGACTACGACCTTTGAAAACCAGTGTGAAGCAAGTGTTACTTCTGCGTTTCGCCTGGTAAAAGCGGGTGGCCGGAAGTCCAACCTCCTTCCTCCATAACATGGTAACGAAATTTAAATAAAGAGACTACCTCAGGGTAGTGCCAGCACACCCGGGCGGAATGCCGCTCAACACTAACACTGCCCGGGGCCAGCAGAGCAACAAGGTTAAGGCGACCCCTGCCACGCTAACCATGAATTTTTGCAACATCAAGGTACCTGATTCAAACTTTAACACCATTCACTAGCATTTGGAGCCGGCCTTGCTCTTTCTATTCAAGACGGGTGTCTACTGTCTACCTTTCCTTCCCGTGATTCTTGGAATACTCCTTAGTGCATTTGCGTATATGTCAGAAAGGATATCTGTTTTCGACGCCTAGGCAGTCTTGAGTACTGTTCTTCTTTTGGTTGCGCGTAACTGTGACGATCATTCCTGCGTCTACGGGTGTCTATAGGACCGACCCGTCGATCGCGCACTAATGGCTACAGACTCCAATCTACAGATCTGTTTATGACTGCCTTGATATACGGTCTGACACAACTGGTTACTTCGCCTAAGAGAATTCCAGATGTGGAAGATCATGTACCTTCCCTGTGGGATCTTCTGTTGACCTCTCACTCGAACGGATATCGGGTCTCCGTTGATGCATCTTCGGAACATTGTCTGATCCGCAGCACGGTGCTACTCACGCTTTCACTGCGGTTGTATAATGCAGGTTGCCGCCGTGTATGGGCCGGCGAATTGGGACATGATGGTGTCTTTTTTGCATCCTACCCAAAGGGACGGGTTTTCTTCTTGCTGGATGATTTCAGCATTGTGGTTGATTCTGTCGCTGATGTGGTGCTTCAGGGAACGCAACTACTTATTCCGTCATCTGTGGTATCAATCTGAGGCAAACCTTAGCCTTGGTTTGGTTGCTCTTGTAAAACTGCATTACGCAGTAAGCAGAGAGGAATGTTGGATTGACGCATCGGTGACCTGGGATGTAAGCACCATCACCCTTTAAAAGAAGTATAACTCCGCCTCCAGGTCCTTCAAAAGAGTTATTGCCAGGGCAAAGTCATAACACATTGGCAGAATTGACGAGAAATTAATTCGCCTTCCGGAGAAGCCGTGCATTCTGCATCGCGAGGGCTGTCCAATGGAATTTCTCTAAGCCATCACTTACCCCTCTGGGCACGGAGGACGACTGGCTTGCTCATGCCGGTAAGGGGAAATCCGACCTTTTGTATGAACGCACATTTGTCAGCACCACACACACCGTACGCGCCGCATTTACTGATGGCCTCGCACATTTACACGTACGCGCAGGACGCAAATCTTTTGTATTGCCAACAACTTTTGCAGTTTTTTCCTAGCACTGGTGTGAATCGCTCAGATCGCTATGGAAAAAAATGTAATAGCCTGCTTATTAGCAGAGAAAGAAGAAAATAAAATTCGAAGAAAAGAAGATGCTGGATTCACAATATTAATTTAAAAAGGCAGTTGTATGGAAAATATTATACTTTATTTAAGGCGCAGGTTGAGCAAAATGTCGCGCCAGTCGTTATTTGGGCAATTTTTAGAAGCTATCTACTTTTTATTTAAAAGATATATCAACAAATAAAAAACACATTATATTTCTACATAATCTTGATTCCATAAAAGCTATATCCAATTTTTTTTTAAAGGAATAAATATTAATATAATCTCCTTACAACGAAACCACATAAATGTGAAATTATTATTGATAACATGCATCTCCTCGTAAAGTAAGTATTATTTTATTTTGCGATTTACACCAATGGATAGGCAATTTATTAATGAACATTTCTATAGTAAATTTTTTTTCAAAAGACCAATATTTGATTTTATTAAGAAATTATTTTAAAATCTGGGCATATTTACTGCTCACGGGCTTGGTGAAGTCAGTGAGCGCTGAGCTCTTCGACGAGAAGCCCGTGTCGTTAGAGCGTCGACCAACGCATACGCCACGTCATATGAGTCGATAATATTATTACTTATTAGGTTATTTATAGGTAGTATTATTTGTTTGTTTTGGGTATAATTTTTCGTATTAGTTATACATATATTTGTTGTGCTTTTTACTGCGCGATGAAGCTTTTTGCGTGTATTTTCTTTGAAGTAAATGCAAATAAAAAAATGAAGCACCATTAGCATGTAAGGTTCGAATCCATAATTAAATTTCGACAA